AACCACTTTCAAACACTTCGGACCTGATGACTACTACATTTTTATATGAATCACGAGATACGTATATAAAATGATATTTTTTGACATTGAGTAATGACGGTAAAATAAGGAATTTTGTTTTTTCTCATTCTGTTTCATGATACTAATAACATGTCGAATACGATTAGGTTTATTACTGAAACAAATATATAATTATTATAAACTGATAGAACGCATAAGTATTGAATGGCTGTATGAAAATAAATCAGCAGTAGACAACAGAGTCAATACGTGAATGAATTATTACATAAAGACTTCAGTTTTTGATGAAATCGTGTATTTCTGTTGGGAGAAAATAGTTCGGTTCTCAAATGCATTCAGTAATAAAATATCTTTCAAATAGATAATAATCAATTGATAAAAACAATACCATACGTTCTTTTATTACTTGAATAGATTGCATATTTATATGCAATTTATTAAGTACAATCCTTGAAAATATGATGTATTTTACAATATAATCTATAAAATATAAAATTGCAACATAAGGTATTCATTATGGTGCATTTCTCATAGAGAGTCTACGACTTATTTTAGAAATGTAATTCGAATCCACCCTTCATTAGGTATGTCATTCTTATCTCGATCAAATTACTTGGCAACGGTCCATTCTTGGTCATTGATTCTTTTTTTCTAAAATACCCTCAAATAATAACTAATAGTGAAATAATCTGAAAGGAAAAACACACGAATTTGCATAAATTCAGTATATTCAATCGAATACAACTACATGCACAAAACAAACTGCTAAGTGAGTACTCTATACATAGGTTATGACACATTTTATCGAAGTGTAATGATTTGCGCATAAATTTGATGTTTTGTTACAGAGTGTTATAGATCACGACTAGCTTGTATATATAACATCATTGAACTATGGAGAATATACACAAATATTGTAAGCTATTGAGAGAGATACAAAAAAATATATTGTCATGAGCACAAAAGTTATAACTACTAATTTATCAATACGAAAAATATTCTAATCAATATATATCCTACATAATGTTATTTATTATTTCTGTTTATAATACTTCTATGACAATTATTCAATATTTACTTATGATAATCGCAAGATTATGCTTTCAAATTGAATTAATCAAAATAATCCATCTAATACTACACACAGTATAGAATATCATCCTATTGACTGAACTTACTTTTCAGTAATAAATTCATCTTTTTTAATTATAACAAATGTGACATTGGTACTAATAATCAATTACACTCAGATATGTCAAGCGATATAAAACCTATCGAACTTAAATATAACAGACAAATAAAAAAAATTACAAATACTGACTTTATTATCTCTTGATAACATTCTTCAAATCCAAATTACCTATCCGCTTCGATGTGTCATATAAGACAGTATCTCTTAAAAATATAATATTACATGTATACTATAGACCTAAAATTCTTTTTGGTATTTTTTTCCAATCAAATTTGAATAGTTAATAATATATAACAACGGAAAATATAATTACGAAGACGTCGATAATCTACATATCTTAAAAGCTTTATTTACTCTCTCTCTCTGTATATATAAATCATTTCAATAGTTAACGTTTGTATGTGAAGATCACATTTCTAAAATATCGAGCATAATATTATGTGTAAATATAATAAAATATGATTATCAATAATATATAGGATAACTGGTTCGTTTATTTTTCATAATAAACAATTATTACTTAATGCTTATTGCTTTGTAAATAGTAACTAGAAATAAATTATTTCTTTTCGATTGATTAGAGATTAACGATGCTAGACTCATTAAATTAATCTAGTAATCATAATAAAACAATTTAGAGGAATTTAATTCTAAAACTATAAGACATAGTGTGTGTCTTACCCAACATTTATATGATAAATATTGAAGATTTAACGAATATATGTTGATGATAATGGGCTATTAAAAATATCGAGAAGAGAAAATAAGATTGATAAATGTTTTATTGTCGAAATAATTTTTCTTTTTTCAAATATTATCATAGTTTTTATCTAATATCATTCATCATCATCATTATCATTGTCATCATTATTATTAATTGAATTATAGCTGATATATAGCAAATATTTCTATCTCCAGGGTATATTTATGACTGCTATTTTCTGTAGATGGATAGAAGTAATGCATTTAAGAAAATGTTGGCCTCGATTAGAAACATTTAGATAATTAAATCATGCTAAATAACGAAAGATCGTAGTGATTTTCTGCTTTTATCAATACCATCTCGTTCAATTATACATATATTATAAACGTGTGATCTTTGTCTGAGGCAATATTTTCGATATAAATCATAACTAAAAATGTATTGCATATTCAAGAACATTTATTCTCTTTTTATAGAAAATATCTATTAATTATTTATAGTACTTAATAAAATCTTTTAATCTAAAATTTTATATTTATAAGAAATAAAGCGCATTAAAAATTAATTTCAATAATAGTTCATGACTTTATATTAACTTCGAAAAGTTTGGCAAAAGATTATTTCATTACATTGATTTATTATAAATTCAAGTGAGATAAATATCATAGAAAACGTTTCTTTTTCTCTCCGAGAAATGATTGTCATTAGTGTAACCAAAAGGAATGAATTATCGAGTGTATATATTGACATTTAAGTTGTCTCACAAAAGATAAACAGATGGCACAGAAAAGATTGTTTGCATTATAACAGTCTATTTTTTCTTCTTCTTCTTAGGAATACAATCCAAAGTTCGTTACTATTGGTTTTAAAATTAAATTAGACGTAATTCAATTTTCAAATTATAAATCACGCTACTGATAAATAGTTTTTTCTAGTTTAACACTTTCGTGTCTAAAATAATTTGAAAATTAAATGAATTGTTAAACATCCTTGTTTTTCTAGAAAAATAATACACACAACAACAACAACATATTAATCAACAAAATTATTCTCACGAATCTTACTTACATCAGAATATTCCATTCTAAGTTATGACAAACCCATATGATTAATTTTAATGATTTTTACAGAGTAGAATAATATACAATTTCAGTTATCGATATTCTTTTTTTATTGAAAAAAACAGTGTTAAATAATATTTTTATTTCGAATAAATGATGACGCATAATGTAAAGAAGAAAGTGTTTTAGCAAACAATCAAATATTTTTCTTTTTTATAATATACTAAGCATATGTTAATGGTTTAATACTCAAAAGAAATTGATTAACTGTTTCGACAAATAATGGACTAGCATCCATAACACGAACAAATGCTGCCGATGAAAATTTTTCTCGTACCAAATGAAATAATTCCGTATGATACTTAAAATAACAATAAATCATATTAAATATTAAAAAGAAGAAGAAGAAGATAAAATTTACATTAGTAAATGTTGATGCTTCAACAAATTCTTGTGAACTTTCCGAAACATCTGTAAATCCAACTAATTCAGTTGTAAACATAATACATTTCATATCATCCTATTAAATAATAAGAAATTAATTCAAAAACAAAAAATAGTTTCATTTTAATTTATACATCAGCAGTAGATTTATCAATTAATTGTTCTTTACAACCAGTAATTATTTTTATTTCATCATTAACAAAAGCATTCCAATGACTGTAAGAAAATGCTGTACATGATGATACAATTGCCATTTGATTATAAGCCCACCATTCTAACTTATGATTCTATATAACATAGAAAAAATTTTATATCGAATAAAAAAATGAATTAAATACGAACCTTATTAATAATGCTAACGTATGAATCGGAATCCGGTTCAGGAAAAATATTAAGACCAAGTGATCGTAATTTCTAGATTTTTAATTTTTCAAAAATTAAATTAAAATAAATAATATATATTTACTGCAATTAATTCTTTTAATGTCATAAATTGATTCGCAATAGGTTCAATAATAGACGCAAATGCTGGATATGTTTTATAAATATGTTCACCTTCTTCAACTGGTGGCGGAGCAGTTGGTTTAGCATTTTTTGCAGCAAATAATGATGTTGGTTTCTCATCAACAGGTACATCCGGTTTACGTGGTGGAAGAAAAACAGCGACTTTATCATACTGTAACAAAAATTTTATGTTAATTTAATTAAAGCGATTTAGAATGTATGAAAGATTAAATCTGATGTTTTAGTCATGTATATAGATATATGTATGAACATCCTTGTTCGATATACTTGATCGATCAAATATAAGAAATTGCGTGACAAGAACAATCTTCATTCATCTTTATATGATCTTGAAAAGATACTCAGATATTCTAGCGCCTTGAGACATTGATTTGACTAGAATGAAACATGTCCGATATAACAGTAACACATATGCTCTTTATATTTTCTGGTAAGTGTGATATGAAAGAACAAGAAGCGGTCAAGATTGATTTCCGATCATCTATGTTATACTTGATTTTTAGTTAAATCTTTAGAGATTTTACATCTTATTCATTTAAGAGAAGAAATGAATAGAACAAAAATTGCGCAACAACGAATAATTTAAATCTGAAAAGTTGAATAACAAAGATATAAAGAATCTTGTATCTAGTCGCTTTTCTATTTTTTTTTTCTACTTTTGCTTTTTCTTCTTCGTCTTCTTCTTGTTCTTCTAATGACCGTGTTCGTGATAATGGCGTCAAACACGCGTTAATCCTATTAGTGATGACGGCGATATTGTTGATGCGCTATCGTTCATTGTCATCACAACGTCCGGAGGCATCATTCTTTCTTACATCGTTTTTCTTTCTGTTTGCACAACCTTCACAATGATGATGATACCCGATAAATTCTCCATCACAGATGGATATAGTACAATAGTATGGTGACATATTCGTATGAAGAGAGACACGAAGATGTTGCGTGACGGTGTTGAATGTCATTGTATGCTCGAAGTTTTCCATATGAAAAATATCGTGCTTGAGAACAATATAGACAGATAGTCAACAGATAGAGGTGTCAAATCATGTAAGATACTATTTCAATGAGAACATACACTTGCACTAAGCTAAGACAAGGTGATATCTAATTTCTATAGTATGATGCCTTACTATCTATTTATCTAGATATTGTAATTCTGCTGCTGGTATAAACATTCATACATAGTTCGTCTGTATGTTTGCTACATCGGATGAGATTAAGCCTGAGGCTCGTTGATCGACTGCGTATTTTTTCCGCTGCCATCTTCATTATTAGTCTGTAGGATGAGAATGATGGGACGTACATTAAAAAAATAGGATTAACAAATAAATACATTACCGCATCGCACTTCTCGTTTTTTTTTTTCCTTTTCTCTAAAGAAGTAAGCTGAAAGACATTTTTTTTTCATATGTTGATACAAGCAAAAAAGAGAAAAAAAGATCAAATTGATGATTCGCTAACTTATTTTAAATTAACTGGAGATCAAGCTAACTTTGTTATTTCTTTCTTTTTTTTGTTTCATTATATTTTTTATATAGAATAGTTTAATTAATTATGTTGTCTCTTGTTGTATATTTTTATCTTTTGAAGATTAATCATCTCTCTAGTTGTATTTTATAATTCTTCTATTATTTGTTAGGAATTATTTATTTTCTCTTATCTCGATTGTCAATGAATAGTATTAAACACCAAAAAAAAAAGAAAAGAAATTCTTTCTTCTTTTTATGCGTAACAAGGCAAGAATCGTAGCTTCTATCTCTGTTCTTTTCATTGACAACATGTCCTTAGCTTAGGAACAACACTAGTAAGTAAGGAGAACGATGTCGATACGATGTTCCGCATAGAAGAAAACAAAGAAGAAGCAAAAGAAGCTGATTTTCTTCATGAATGATAATATAGAAGACAGAGGAGAGAAAAAAAATCTTCATTATAACCATAATTTTATAGTTAATAATAAATCGTTATATTTTCTTCTATTTAATATGTTTATTTCCTCAGTTTCATTATATGTGTGTATATTTATGTGCGTGAGAAAATCACTTGTCATCGGGTTACTATCATTACAATTCCTATCTTTTGTCCTTCATTCTTTATTCACTCATTCTTTCTATTAGAGTTTTTTCTTTGTCACATAATAGATTTTTTGTCACTTGTCTCTGTATATATGTGTGTATGTGTGTGTTTATCTGTTCCCATCGAATTGACATATAAGCAGCTGACGTATGCATTAAGTCAGCTCAAAATGTAAAATCTCAATTTTCTTTTTTACTACCAACTATATTAAACATTATCCATTGACATCACTCTTTTTTAATTAATAGAATAAAAATAGATCATGCTGTAAGTGTTTTTTATCGAGAAAAAAAGTTCGTTTAACATTAAATAATTATTATTTATAGACATATTCTTTAAATCTTGATAGATTTTGAAATAGAATAATATATATATATATATAAGTATCATTTGTATTGATATGAATGAATAGGAGAAATAAAAAAGAATTTACTGTATGTAAACTGTATGTGTCTGTAGAATCCTGCTGTGTCATGTTATTTTTTTGCCACTCATGCTTGTTATTCTCTTACTATTTACACTTTATATACTCATTTTTTTTTCTAGAGTTCTCTTCACCAGAGGTCGATCGCATCTCATTTTCAAGATAGGGATAGACATACATAGAAATTCTATTTTTCTATTAACCATTTTGATAGGATTTACTACTATTGTTGGCATATCGAGCGCATAGAGGAAATGACATCACCGGGAAGTATTATTGTTGCACACACGCGCACATTCAGGCAAGTCTATTCATTCATTGGCACGAGTAAGAAACAGACAGCTTTTTGAGCCGCCCAAGAAGATATAGGGAGGAGAAAAGGAGAGAGAGAGAGAGAGAGAGAGAGAGGGAGAGACAGTTGTGTGTTTACTCAGAATGCGCAAGTCCTCACGGGAAAAAGGACGAAGAAGAAGAGAAAGCGAGAAAACGAAGCATTAGTAACAGCAAAAGCAACAGTTCTATTGTCGTTGATGAGAAAAAATTGCGAGAATAACAACACATACATGCACACCCTATACATCGATAAGAGATAGCAAAAAGATTTAGAAAGAACAAACAAGAAAAATCATTCTCTTCTCTCGTTACTCAACCGTTTATTCTTGTCAAAAGAGCAGTATATTATTAAATCTTGTGTATAAATGTTAATTTTTCTAGATATATCTTTACATATATATATATTATATATATTTATTTATATATTTATATATTTAAAAAAAAGAAATTATACAAAATGATCTAGATCTTAAATTATTGAACTTCATGGACGTACTTGAATTACCTCGACCTGTTATTAATTTTCTTCGAACAATGGCCAAAGAAAGTTGTCGTTATGCTCTTTCATGGGATATATTTGGTGGACCTGATTCAGTTACATTAACATTAACATGGAAACTTATTGAAGATGAATCACAATCATCAATAATTAATGAAGCATCATCATTATCATCAACAACTGCAGCAGCAGCAGCAGTATTAAAGCAACAACAAAATTATGAGGATCCTCATATTCGTACACGTACAACAGTTAAAAATAGCAATTCATCATCTTCCCCACGTCGCTCACGTCGTGATGATCATACTTCTACAAATGAAAATGCTTCCGTACCAGCTATATTTCGTTCATCCCGAGGCAAAAGTCTTGAAGATCCTCATATACCATCAAATAAACAAATTACTTCTTTGCATCATCAACAGACAAAAGAACATCAACATGTATCAAGTTTAGAACGATCACCAATGCCTAATCATTATCATCATCGTACAAAAAAAGAACCACAAAAACCAGTATCAGTACAGTCAGATCAAATCTATGGAAATCTTTATAATACACGTTCACCATCTGTTGTTAAATGTGCCACTATTTCTTCTTTATCGAGTTCGTCGCCGTCTCCTCAACCAAATATTACTACTAATACTCCTACTCCTACTCCTACTAATAATAATAACAACAATCCACCTTTATCTACTGCATATAGTCATCATCAACGAATTAAACAACAACAACAGCAGTACCCACAACAAAAATCTATAACTCCACCAACTCTTCGAAAACCGATACGTCCAGTAGCTACTATATCTCGTACACCAACAATACCGATGTCTAGTAATACATCATCAAATTATGCAAAATTAAAACGAGCTGATAATATTGCTATACATAATGATGTTGTTGACGATGATGATGATGATGATACACTTGATCCATGGGTAAAACGTTTTGAATGTTCACTTGAAGATAATGACGATGATGAAACTACAGAACAATTGGAAGAAAAAGAGCATATGCCTCCGGCAACTACCACTATAACTAGTATGGATGATTCAGCTAATACATCTGGCAAAGTTAAATTTAAAACAAAACCTGATTATTTCTAGAAGGAAGAAAAATCCTAATCTATCTATATATTTTTTTTTCATATTGTTCTCAGGAGGAGAAAGAAAAAGCTGAATATAATATTTAAATTTTGCGATCGAATCTTTATATAACAAAAAAAAATTTTTATGAATAAATTCTACATCGGTCGCCATCTTTTTTTGGTACCATTTTAATATTTTTCTCTTTGTTATTTATTTGATACTAAAAACAACTTTGTCAATTAATCAACTTAACAAATACCATATTTTCTTAGTTAGTATAATGATCATTTGTCAATATGTCACTCTTGTTACCAAAAACGAAGTTCATTGCTGTCATCTTAGATTATACTTCTACTACAATGCATATGTTTATTGCGTAAATTGTTGATTTTCATTATATTTTTTCTTCGTCTTCTATTCTTTGTATTACAATATGTCGTTTGCATATCATACTGTTTCTGCTTGCTCTCTAACTCAACCATCAAGCCAATTAACACACATCGATAGATTGACTCTTTATATTCTCTGTTCCTTTTTTTTTTCTTCTTCTTTTTTTCTCTTCTGTGCCTTGTTTTTCTAGACACTGATGAAAAAAAAACCAAACACAAACATCTGCGGAATATACAACTATACAATTGAGAACATCATATGATGATGGACACCAGATGGTGTCAATATAAATTATAGAAATGAACAATAAAAGATGAAGAGAATCTTTTACATACATATATAATCATGAAGAAGAAGAAGAAGAAGAAGAAAAAAGAAATTCTTGAGACTTTTTTTTTTTTCTTAAATATATATTTCGTCTTTTGCTTCAATTAATAATAGTAATGGAGTCAAAACACATATAATTGCTTTATTTATATAATAACATGTTGTACTTAATCAAGCAGTAGTTGTTATATAGATTTTCCTATTGGAATGAATAGATAGATTCAAAATAGGAAAAATCTTCTTCTTTTTTTTCTTCTTCCTCAGAACCTAATTAGTCTAAACGAATCTGTATGGTTAGTTTTTTTTTCTTTAAAGATATATCAAAATGGTTATAATTGTAGTATTTCAAGAAATAAAAAATTATTATAAATTAGCTATATATAACTCATGGGAGTTAAGATCTATGTATCTATATGATGAAATCGACCATTGTAATTTTTACATCTCGTGAAGTCTTTTCAAAACCATTCATCATACTCGAAACTCCTTGCGTCTAATACAATCCCTTAAGAATTAACGCATACAAAACGAAAGAGATATTCCTCCCCTTATCCAATTATTGCGTATAGACATACTCATGGGATAAAGATCTATTCCTTGTCGTACATGATATTATAACCCGTTATTTGTAGTTTTCAAAACTCCAAGGACTAATATAGTATTTCAAAGGCAAATGATATATATATATATATATATCAACACAAAAATTTATCTATGAAAAGAATCTCGAAATACAACGATAAACTATTATTGATCTGACAAATTTTCCATCAGTCAGTTTAAATAAAAGCAAAAGGAAACTATTTAAATCAAATATTACTTAAATAAATAAAGCGAGTAGAATTCATACTCTTTTGTTCATCTTGTTACTAAAAGAATAGTTTAATGTTGAAAGCAGCAACAGTACAATTGTCGATAAGAATAATATTTATTATTACTATACTGTAAATATATTAATGCAAGTATTTAAAATATCTTTATCTATCGTAAGTCTTACTCTCTTAAAATTTAGGTTCTTTATTCAAATTAGTATAGGAATCATTTTAATCAGATCGTTCGAAATTAAAAGTATAAGGTATATTCAATCGATAGTAAAATAAATTTTATATAAATAGACAGCAAAATTGTGATTCGAAAAGATGATGAATGATATCGATTGATATGAACACATAGACTGAATGTAATCAAGCAAAACTAAGAAGACAGTTCAATTTGATTATTTTAACTGAACAAGAACATTAACATCCTATCTTATTTAATTGCATTTGAACAACTATATATATAAACTCAATTATAGAATCTGACTAGTTCAAATTTATTTCATTCATTATTAACTAAATTAATAAATTATTATGATATACGAATATGACAATCAAATGAAGAATCATCCAATAAACTATTGGAAACAATTAAAATCTAGATTTTTAATTGATTTCGACAGATCTTCTACTAACATTATCCTAATCTCGTCTTTAGTATATTATAAAACGATTATCCTATTTTCTGTGTTTTTTTTGCTACAGGAACAAAAAAGTATTGTGTGATATGGTCCGATAGATCGAGACATTTTTCTTTATTTAAGTACACAATAAAAAATCAACGACCCAGACATTGAGAGTGCATGTCTAGTTACATATTATCTATGAGAAATCATCTTTATCATCAAGTGACTAATTAAATAACAATAAAAATCGTTTATTAATCGAATAAAAAACAAATTTTTGATTTTTATAAATCTTACCAAACTACTAACAATATTCATCTCTGTAAATATCCTACATAACTATTTGCATCATTTATTTTTTTAATTACAAATGCTCATCATATAACATAAAAAAAGTCATCGATCGATCAATTAACTCACAGTTTCACTGTTTTGTATTCTACCGTCCACTCTGGCAAGTCTTCTATCGATCATTAATTTACATTTTTCTTTTCCCCTCGATATCATCGACATAGATCAACTTAGACTGATAAGCACGAAAAAAAATTAATTACTATTTTGTCATCTTATTGATATTATATATACTAAGAAACATTTATTTGCATTAATGACTATAGTAGTTAGTTATCGTTGATTCTCGAGACAATACATTAAAAAACAAGAAGACCGTATGAGAGAATGAGTATTTTTTTATTTTTCTTTGATCGATATTCTCATCAATTCTATATGTAATGAGAAACTGTATGGACAATATATACGAGACAAAGACAAACATTATCATCATTATCATTGATAATCACAACAACAACAACATTAATATTCAAGTAAAAGCAATTAATGAATAGAAATTACATCATTATCATCGTATAGTTTCTCTCCCATCGGCAATCGACGTCGTTCTTTTTTTTTATGATGTTCATTGTGATTGAGAGATAGAAAAGAAAAAGCATTAGAACAAAACTGAACGATCAATATACACCTGTTCTTGACAATAATATACAGTTAGTTATATTGAAAGACATAGATATTGACTTGCCGGAAGCATTTTAAAGTGAGTATATGAATGATATGTATCTTAATATCAACAATAACTTTGAATGTTTCTTATCTATTCTATTAAATGAAAGTAAGATTGAATGATTTCATTATAGAAGGAAAAGACAGCTTTGATTTAACCATCTATAGTTTATTATCATAATCCAAATGAGTAGAATATCCTTCCGGACATCTGCTAAGCGTATATATACACTGATAAAGTATAAAAAGATGACTAGTATCTATATAGTTTAGCATTTATATATTCAATCATAAGATCAAATTTCTTTTGTATACTCTATATGTTACAATCGATATTCGTTTTTTATGATTTATATACGACATGTGTAAAAGTTGCTGTTTTTGTCGTTCAATTGCGCGCACTTGTAAAATCAGTCAGTAGCTTATTTATATGCATGTATCACGACACTTACTCAACCGTCATCACTTGTCTGTCTCACTATTAGTATTCGCCTCTCTCTCTCTCTCTCATTCTCATTTTATTTTTTTATTTAAATGTCATTGATTTCTTCTTTTCTTCTTTCTTTTCTACTTCACTTTCTCTTGATCGATTGTAGGTTTACTGCTATATGACCATTGCTATCGACGGACCAACTATGCCTCCTCCTTCTTGATCTTCTTTTTCATCGTCCGTTCGTTCATTCTCAAATAATAATCACATACATCTCATATTAACACGATTATCCATGATAGATGGTTTGACCATTGATGTTGGCTTATAAATATATATTATATACACAAATTCAAACGACGATTACTGTGTCATTCACAATTTTTACATAACAGTTATCACCTTAATTTCTTCTTACATTAGTTTACGTCCTTGCTGTCCTAATTAATTTACCAACGATACTCAATATATCAAATAAAAAAAAAGTCAAACTAATAGATACAAATCGAAGAAAAAGAATGATTGAACATTTATCTCTTTTCTTTCTCCTATGACCTATAGTTATCGTTTTTCTTTTGTATACAACTACTAGAAGAGAAGATATGGAACATCACAAAGCACTGATTTCTAACATAACAATGATCGATACAAGTAATAATAACAATTCCCATCAACGCCATCATCTTACTCGACGGAAAAGAAGAGTAGCACAACGACAACAGTTAACAACATCATTATTATCCTCTAATGATCTTCACACATCATCCATATTGAATACTGAATTAAATTCTAATCATAAAAAAATTTATATTCGTGAACAACCAAAAGAATATATTTCATTAAAAAATCCTCTCGCATGGACAAAAAAATGGACGAAATGGTTTTCACCATGTGGTTCACAACGATCATCTCGTAATGATTTAAATCTCGCAACTATATCAGTTGAGGTAAGTTAAGATTCATTTATTTTCTTTTTTTGTAATATCTACACCTGCTATGTGATTGATCAGTATAAGACGTCTATGTCTTTCAATCCCAACAAATGATTGATGATTAGACGATGAAAAAATAATTTTTTTTTTTTCTTTAATTCTATTCGATTCTCATATATACAATCAATTGTCTAAAGGACGTGATCGAGTATCGGTAAAAGAATAACAACATATCTAAGTCATCATCTTGGTATGTGTATATGTAAGACGATCTGACCATGTCTGCTTAATAGAAAAGAAAAAGTTCTGTTCAATATAAAAGAAAGAAAAGATAAAATTCCATTTACAATGTTTGATTGTTATTGAATGACATGAAAATTAATTGTTAGAAATGAAGTATATTAGATTGTCTTTGTATATTGATTGGTCTTTTAACACCATTTATATTGATGTGATGACAAGGAAGGATAAGAAAAAAGAATGAAATACCGAATATTTTATGAAAAAACGAAAGTGAATATTATGTACACATTCTTTAGAAATATAACTGTATGATGTGTAGATATATCGAAAAGACAAATGGTACATAGTTGATCATATGAATTATAATCATTTTTTTACTTAGATTAAAACGATAGACATTTAATTCGTCTATATATAAAAGTGAAGTTACATTATATATGTAAAAATAGTAAAGAAGTTAGATCAAATAGATTTTCTCACTACCTATTTTCGATAACAATGATAAATATTCTTTTTTTGATTTTCGAAATCATTGAAATTTTGTATAGTATATTTTATGAAGTATACTTAATATATTGATTGTCTTTTGTCTTCTGAACTCTTTAACATACACTCAGTTTTTGTGGCTTCATTATCGGTATCTATTTTACAATTTACCCTTGGAAAAAAATCGATAAGAATAATAACAGATTTAATCTCAAAGTCTACAGTCGAACATTCTCTTCATTCATATAACAATTGTTTTAGTAATTTTAATATCGTCTTTAGAAGAACAACACCTTTTAGTTATTTCTATTGAATTACATATGTTCAATTTAACCTTTTACTACATACATTTGTTTTTAATCAGACTATATATTTATATATTACGTCAGTGTATCAAATCAAAAAAAAATACATTTACAACGATTTTATAAATTTGAAATAATAAAAAAATAATGATTTGATTTTGATGTATTTGTCTATCGAAATTTTTAGTATTTGATTTTTGTCTCTGTGCCAGAAATTAATCTTTTTGACATATAGATTTACATTTGAATGACACACGCGTACGTACATCATATGAGAGAAAGAACATTGTTGAATATTATAAGAATTTAGATATACGTGACAGATTCATTGAACATTATTATAACGAATATTAAAAGTGATTAATGATCGATAGAAAAATTCACACACGTGTCTAGTGAGATCTGATAAACTGCTGAAACTATTTTAAGAATCTATTTTTCGGTTATATAATCAAAAATAAAACAGTGATGAAAATGTGACAATAGTGTTATTGCTCTTGTTCATATCAAAATCCGATTAGAGTTAGTAGTATATTTTCTTGTGTAATCAAATATCTCTTCAAGATTCATCTGATAACTAACGTATTATGCAGATTCAATCGTATTTTATATAGTTGACTCAAGTGTATACATATATATATATACACGCGTGTGGACAATAACTTGAGTTCTTTCGTATCTCATCTTATTTTGAACTTAAGCATACAATTATCAATGATGTATATATGTATGTCATAGAAGAATTTATTACGCAAAATCAGATAAACTAATTTATTTATAAATTGTCATGTGAAATTTGTAATAGTCTTCATTGATTATGTTTTTCTTATTTAGTCTTTTAATTTTTATATTTATTTAAAGAGTAGTAAAAAAAATAAATGAACATTTCCGTTCATTGATATGTGTGTGTGTGTGTATACGACTGTATAGACGTTAATGAAGTGAGATGTATTATTATTGTTTTAGGAAAATTACCGATGTGTTCAGTGCATGTCATCTATAAGTTTAAGGAAACTGCATATATATGTGAATTACTCTTAACTCTGGAGTGGCGTTCATTTTTTTTCTCTTCTCCTCGCACTTCTCTCTCTAGTTCGGTAGTTTAGGTGAATGTGTGTGTGAATATGATGGCTCATTGAACGTTTTGTATAGATGTGTGCGTGTCAAACTTGTTGAAAAAAAAGTAAAAAAAAAGAGAAAGAGGGGGAGACAGAGAGAGAGAGAGAGGGAGAGAAATAAGAGAGAAGAAGACGAACAGGAAATCGGTCTCTCTCTCCTGACTATGCTTAATAGAAGGATGTTGATGAGTCGCTTCTTTTGCTGCTGCTCCTGTGGACAATACCTCATATTCAACCATATTAGTTGTTGCTTTGCTTGTTATTATTATACTTCAGAAATAGTGTTACAACAACTATAGTTGCATAGCCGGTGTTTCTTCATCATTTATTAATTACGAATGAAACTTTTTCGTATCAAAGTATGTATGAAGAATAAAACTAAAGTTAATCACTTGGGACATATATCAATATATCAAAATAAATAAGAAAAAAATTAAATTTCTATAGAATCTTATTAATAATGTTTTTCTCTTTTGCATAAATTATAGAAACGTAGTCGAACTAAATCTGAAAATGATATATCAAAACGTGGTAGTATCGATCAGAATGAAAAGGTATGTAAAGAATTAAAAAATTTTGTTATTTGTATGTTTTTCTTGTTTTTTTCTTCTCGTTCTTAACCTTGAATCTATTTTTAACTATGTCTCAATGTAACAATTTAACAAAATCGAGCTTTTCACAATAGATAGAAAAGGAGAACTATTCTTATTTATCTGATTAATTTCTTGGTCGATGATGATTTCATTTTGTTTTTTTGTATCATTGAATTGTCTTGACAGTCAACAGTATTGTTAATAGCAAAATATTCCTTTTTTTCTGTCGGCAATAATTTACGCGAATGCATTGTCGTTCATCTTTTTTTCTTCCCTTCTTCATCGTCCTAGGATTCTCATTTTCTTATTGAGAACTATCTTTACTTCTGTTCTTTTTCTTCGCTTACGGCTATATTCATATCTCAATATGATTTCTCGTTTATATGTCATATTTTTCTCGTAAAATACAATTTTTTTACCATAATTAATTCTTCTGGTCTCTTTTTTTTCTCTCTCTTGTATATTGGTTATACTTATGTTAGTTATATTAATAAGAATGATAAATGGATAAATATATGTATAGGATAGATTTTTTTCGTATTATTCGTTATTTAATATAAATAGATAAGTCTGCGTATATATAAATCATATTTATTTTCAATTAGGCCCATGGGAGACATCTATTGAAACGATTAAAAAAGAGTTTTTTCTTTTTTTAGTCGATTGTATATTGGAATATGCAATTGAAGTGAAGGTGAAGGTTATATCAGTAATAATCCTATGTTTGTAAAAAAAGTTGCTGATAATTGACTTGACTCAATCACATCAAAAAAAGAAATCAAATGTGTAAATATATATACACCTTTCGAATAAGTAGAAAAAAAAGGGAAGAGAAAGTGCAAATAGTAAAGACCATAAAAGTTAATTTTTATTCCCTCTTTCTTTCTTTCATCTGTTACTATCATATGAAATTGACGCATATATGCACGTGCCATGTGTGCTTATCTAATTTTACGACATGAAGCATAGCTTGCCTCGTTTTTTTTTTTATCAAATAGAAAGCGAATTATATAGAAATCGCCGGTCGATGGTGATTCTATTATGTGTCGATATTATTGAGAAATAAAAAGAAGAGAATCGAAAGCTGTTCTGTATTCCGTCTTGTGCGACAAAACAAACTGATCGAAATAAGACAGAGAACGACGAATAAAAACTACAATAATAGTAATAGCAACAAAATACTACGTAGACAAGGAAAAGAGAATCGCATGAAAAGAGAAAGAAGAAGGACACGATGGCGGTTGTCGTCATCAACATCGGCATAGTTTGTGCTTTTTTTTCTTCTCTTCCCCTGTTCTTGCTGCGGTTTTTCTTCTTACAACAAACTCGTCCGACTATTTTCATAAGTAACCTTCGAGCTATGATATATTTTTTCGATGAGTGTGTAGGTGACTAAAGAGAAAAATAATAGATTCAATCTTATAGGTATGTGTTTTGTCAATGAGTAAACGACATTTCACATAAGATTGTGCTAATTACATCCTCTTTTATTCTTGAACTGATATGTATATATATATGCTAGTTGTTATTTTACCATTTGTTTTTATTTATTCTTTATTTCTATTATGACTAGTCAAATAACCATGTTAAAGAGCAGATACCACTATAACTACTAGTACAACCAACTTCAAACGAAATGACTACCCCAATATATGCACACTCATCATTGTGCGACGATGAATAGTAAATACGAAAATGTGTGTCTATATATGCTTCAAACGACGAGTTCATTTTTTCCCTCCCTCTCTCTCCCTTCTTCTTCTTCTTCTTTACTCTCTCTCTCTCTCTCTCTCTCTTTCTAACATTACATATGTGAGGAGGGAAAAGAAGAAAAAAGAAGAGAGTAAAGTGAGAAGAATTTTTGACGCTACACCTTGGCGTCGTGTTGTATGAGAAATGATTTAGATCAACTAAACCAACATCGACAGACGAGACGAGGAAAAAAAGTAGAGTGTGTACATGTATATGCATATAAAAGAGGGAGAGAGAGAGGGAGAAATAAGTAATTGATACGCATTGCTGCAACAGCAGTGCTCAGTACAATGTGTACATGCGCTTATACCAATCTGTCACCGTTAATGTCTTGTTCGTAACTGCTGCCTGATTACAATTTGTTACTTCTTTAAGTGAGTAAAAATATATAAATATAGACATGAGCAGGTAGGTAGACACACATCATGTCTTCGCCAAAGGGGCGGATTGTTAGTACGCCTATATAAAGGTTATCGATTATCGATAGACTAGGCTGAGACTTCAATTTCTAGTCCTATGGGAGTAACATGACAAATAGAAGGAAAAGAGCAACAACAACAACAACAACAACAAGCAGAAGGAACTAAATATATATGCTCTTTGCATTTCTACTACCCCATATCATTGTATAGTAGAATAAATAGATGCACATGCATTGTCTTTCGTTTGACTATGTGATCAAGATACTGATTATGATAAAATAATAGAGAAGAGAAGAGAAGAAATTCATTGAAAAAATATAAAAGTTGCATTTTTCTCTTTTCTTGCTTGTCGCTTCATGGCATATTTACCTTCACTATGTGTTTTTTTTCGTTCTGTTTTCATTTTTATGTATGCAGAAAAAATAAAGTAAAGAAAAATCTTTATGTATATATACACACATATAAGTATATGAAATTTACACCTAAATATAATTTCTTTTTTCTCAAATTTTAATCGACGAAAAAGGTAAACGTTCTATACCATATAAGAAAAACATACAATATTTTATTCATTATTTTTTTTTGTGGTAAAAATTACCGATGCGCATAAACACATTCACTTACTATTTCTTTAAGTAATTCAAAAGTTTCCTCAAGTAATAATATAACTATAGCAGTTAAAGAGCATAGAAGTGAAAACCTTCCTTCTTCTTTCTTCTTCTATGCTTTATAAGTTCTCGTGAAAAAGAAACCTTAATGATTCTTTAATTGTCACATCTATATTTCTACTTATTTTATCTAGAAAAAATTACCAACTACAAATTCAGGTTATACTATTGATCAAAATTCGAACGAAAATCAAGACGAACCACGATATAAAACATCTTTTCATCATCAATCAAACGAAAAAGTTAATAATATAAATCCAGTTGTTTATCGAAATAATACACGTCGTTATTCAAATACATTTTTTAATTCAGCACGTTACGGAGGACCTCGAACATCGATTGCTGTTATACCATCATCAACAACAATAAATACTTTACAGCAAAAACAACCATCACATTTAAGTCGTTCGGTTGATCGCCTTTCTAATAATAAATCAAGTCGCCGAGAATTACGTTATGAAGAACATGATGATTACATTCCACCACTTAATTCAATTCAATGTCATCCAACATTAGATCATTACGCGAAAAATCTAAATCAACCAACTTATTTCACTTCGAATCATCGTCGTAGTCAGATAGAAACCTATCAACTATCATCAATAAATAATCGTTTAGTATTACCTAGACCTTATTCATCAAATATCCCAATTTCATACAGTCTTCAAGCCATGCCAAAAATAGTCGCGGATAATAATAATAATAATAAGAACAAAAATAATAATAATAATAACAATACGTATGGAAAATTATCTGAATGTCATTCACCGTTGACTCCATTAGAAAATTCTTCAGTTAAAGCTCCACGTCGTATTGAATCAGCGTATAGTCAATTTCCAGTACAAGAACCTGTCTATGCAAATACTCAATCTCTCTATGATAATATACTTTATCCTCAAACAACATCGAAAGTATTAAATAAAATAGGTGAACAACAAAAAAAATCTTGTGCATCACAGACACAATTAACATGGACAATGGCAACATTTTCATCATTTGTTGATTTAGAAAATCAATCAATTATTATCCCACAACCCGATCCAAATACACTTTATTCTGTTGTACAACATTATCAATCACCATTGACACGATCAGCATCATCTGAACTTATTGAACCACCGACACGTATATCATCCGATGTAAGTCATATTATAAAATTTTATTGAGAATATTTAAATGTATTTTATTCAATGTCAAGTGATACTTAGCCTTTATATCAATATATAATCTAAAGTTAAATTTTTTTTATCTTCTTATCATTAGGCACGCTATATCGATGATACAAATCCATCAAATCACTATCAACGTCCACGTAGTCCAACATCATCGAATGTAATTACAGTTGAAAAACGTGATGGGTCTTTTCAAACGCATCTTTCAATAGCACCAACACAGGATATTGAATCAAATAAACATTTATTTATTCATGATTCAACTCCATCACCATTATCAACTTCATCAACAACAGGTGGCGGCACTACTAGTGGTCAACCAAAATCTCATCATCATCATCATCATCATCACCATCGAAAACATAAATCACGTAGTAATGGAGGTAGTGGTCATATTAGTACACGAGACGTTGGTCTACAAGTGAATATACAAACAGTGAAAAAAATCACAATTATACCACAACGAAGTGATGAATCATCATTAGCAACAACAACAACAGCATCATCACCATCACTTATGAAAACTTCTCGTGAATTAAAAAATGTTGAAACAAATACTGAACCAATAGCAACAAAACGTGATACAAGTACATCATATGATTCTAGTATTCGTTTAGTAACATCATCATCTCAAACAATTGATTCATCATCACCATCAACTTCTATGAATTTTCAAACAAAAGCTGCTCAAACACCTAATAAAACATTACGTGATCAATCAATTGAAACGAATAATCGCGGTTTATTCGTATGTGATCTTAGTTCATTATTAAAAGGTAGTCAAGATGATTCACAATCATCATCAACATCATCATCATTAACTACAAAACGAAAAACTTAAATTTCCTTTCCTTTCTTTCTTTTTTTTAATGCTATTCTATTATCATATGCTTCTGTGTGTATCTTTTTTATTTTGTATTTTGTTTTCGGTTTTTTTTCCAAGAGTAAGAGAAAGAATTTATATAAATATAAATCTTGTTTGCACAAGTAGAATACAATATGACTTACTCGAATTTCAAATATGATTTCAAATGATTGAGTATTTAATGTAAATAGAATATTATTAACTGCTTTGGGTCTCATACGCCATGACTGAAATGGCATATGAGCATGACGATCATTTAATAATGCATAAGTACCAAAATCATATGTTTTAAACGATATCATACGTGTATCTAAATAAAAATTAATCGAAAAAATTTTTTTGGATTATATAGAAATTCTTTTTATTTACCTGGTGCATATTCATAATCAACAAAACCTTCTTGTTTCCAATGATTTCGATCTTCAATCCATCGTGCAAGTAATGGTTTTTCTGTAACATATACATCAGTTGGAATCCTAAATATATGTTTCAGAATGATTTGTAGGAAAATTTTAGTATTTTAAGGTCAGATTCAAATAATCTTCAATATCGTCTAAGACCTTTTTGAGATAAGTATGAGATCATAAAAATCTTCTTTATCTGAATGTACTTGAATCTGGTTAAATATGAATTTCGAACTTTTACTTCCATGATATCTTATTAAGAGAGAAAGTCAAGTATAACTTGATTACTTATTGATAGAGATAAGGAAGAAAATAAATCTTGTATTTAAGAGTGACTATTAAATTTAGATAAAAAGAATTTCCTTGAAATTCTTTCACACATCAACTAAACTTAAAATGTGTTTCGTATTTTTAAAAACAATATATGTATCATACTTGTATTTAAGTACAATTGCTGATTCTTGTTTGAGTGCAGCAGCTAAAAACATTTTTCGTACTTCTGGATTATTGTCAATCATTGTTCCATCAAGTGTCATCGATGGATCCATTGGATCTTCCATCTAAAAATAAATGTTTAATAACGAATGAAATAGTATTAAATTTTTTTAGTTACTTTTAGATCCATTTTAGGTTTTCCTGTATCAGTTTCGGTTCCTTTATTTTTATTAGAAGAAGCATATTCTTCATAAAATCGTTTAGCAAGCATTGGATCTGATGGATACGGATAACGAACAAGAACATTATCATCATCAACTATAAATTAATCAGAAAAAACAAACATTTCTCACATGAAGAAACTATAATGTATTCAAATAACCTTGCATTATTGTCCATTCTTGTACTTTTTTTGGTTGTGGTGGAATATTATAGAGATTTACTTGTATTAAAGGTAATACAGGCCAATGAGAACGAAGATCAATAACTGATTCATCAGCTAATTCTTCTAGGATTAGATCAGCTGTGACTAAAAATATAATTTTTTTTTATAATATTTCATTTGTATGACTGATTTGGTCAATCTTAATCAATATACATTTCTTCGAAAGAGGAAAAAATTCTCTAAACATGTGTTCTATAATAAATCTTTCTCGAGAAGTTAATAAAAATATGATTTATGATAAATTATTGCATGGTTAATGAATAACAAAAGTTTATGAAAAGAAAACCAATCAATCATTCAAAAAGAAGCGACAGAAATAAATAAACGAATATTATCAGTCATCTGTGAATAATCGTCATTCACCGGTAATAATTGATTTTATACGTAATAGCTTTTTCTCGTCATCTACGCAACAGATCGAAATGACTTGATTCTCACGCCTATCAAGGTTAGATTTCTTCACATTCTAATTCTAGTTCGTAATGAGTGTAGGATGAAATTATTATAGAATCAAGGTATATGTTAATATATTCTCAATTCTGTCAAAATGAAATAAGTTTACCATCACGTATTGATTTTTTTCTATTTAATGCATTTTGTGGTACATCATCTCCATCTTTTGCTTCATCGGCATTTAGTAAAGCAGCTTGTTCAGCTGCTTCTTTTGCAGCTTTAGCTTCGGCTTCGGCAGCAGCCGCTGCTGCTGCAGCTGCAGCTTCTTTTTCACGTCGTCTTGATTGTTCCATTAATTTTCGTATATCAGCTGGTAATGATGGATCAATTGGTTCTTCTTCGACAACTTCTGCTGCTACTGGTTTTACTGTTTCATCAACTAATGGTTCAGGTATTGGATCTAAGATAAATACAAAATAAACAAAAAATCGAAATCTTTTAAATTAATCTACCATAAGAATATTCATTTGTTCGTACACGACATTTAGCAAGAAGTGAACGTTCAGAATAATAATCATATTTAAGAAAAAATCCAACTATAGCTATATTAGCTAATGATAATGGTTTAGGTAAATCGAAGCCAAAACCAAATTTTTCGTAAAAATAACCTTTTATTCTACATATACAATACAGAAATTAAATAAATTTAACCGAAAAAAAAATTATTTCGATAGAACCTTGGATTATGACTGAGATTAGCCCAGATACAAAGAGCAACATTTTCATTTTCGGCTATATATTGAAAATTATTTGTTTCAAAATCTTGTAAATCTGTTGCTTTAAGCATTATACTATGAGCTGTTTGACGCCATTTGTAATGTAATGTATCTTCAAGTTCATGAATTGTCTAGAAAAAAACGAAATAAATAATTTCACTATCTGTTTTTTTAAGTACAAACGTTTTTATAAATTGGAATACGTTCATTTTCCGGTGAATCGTTTGAAATCGAATTAATAACATGATATAATTCTTTAATAAGAGATAAAACAAGATTTGTTTGTTTCATAGTATATTCAACATTAATTCGTTGTTGTTCATCACGCCATAAAGATATAAATGTATTAATTTCAAGTAAACTTGATGGATCTGGTGTACCATCACATTGCATAACACGTTTCCACTTTTAAAGAAAGATAAAAACATAGAAATATTTTTTTGCGAAGAAAAATTTTACTTGAAATTCTTCTCGTTGTTTTTCACGTAGATCATGCGCTTCATCTTGCCTTGGAAGAATAAATTCATAAAATTCACTTAATTCTCGACGTCTTAATTCATTGATCTATGTATTTATATATAATATTTATAAGAAGAAAAGAAAAATATTGAATACATACTTCTTTCGCTACGATAGCTCGTTCTTCAGCAAGTCGTTTTTCATTTTCAATACGTTCCTTTTCAGCAATTTCAGCACGAACTCGAGCTTCCTCTGTAATATGAACATAGAATATTAAATAAGATTGGCAGTGTGGCCGAGTGGTCTAAGGCGCTGGTTTTAGGCACCAGTCGTAAAAGGCGTGGGTTCGAATCCCACCGCTGTCAGTATATTATGAAGTAAAACGGTTTGCTTCTCTTTTTTTTTCCTCTTTCCTACTTTCTTTTTTTTTTTTTATATATGATCCTAACAGTAAAGATATTTCGACATATTCATATACGATCAACTATAGAAGAAGTTTGAAGTTTCATTTCTTTAACAAGATAGAAAAAAAAATAGGCTACAGACAAATATTAACCTCACGTTTAGCAAGTATTTAGTTTATAATATATAATATAAAACCTAGACATCGACTGACAGTGGCACGCTAAGGTCATTTTAAAGAATCTATTAGCCTATCGTTTAATACTTGTGGAAAAAAAAAAGAAATGTATCCCTGAAAAGTCCCAAGAGAAACTAAACAGTTGTTTCTTCTAGATGATATCGATGAAGGAATATTATACATTATTAGACCTTGTTAGAATTCTATTTGTACTCAAGACATATCGGCAATGATGTCGAATAGTTAAGGTCTTTATTTTCTCTGTAATATTTTTATTTAAAATGTAATTGTCATGAAGTTACAAAAATAATACATTTCTTAATGTGTCTATTCATATTTCTATAATAAAATGAAAAAATTTATACCCGAATTTTTTTCAATAATTTTCTTAGATTTGTTATGTGGTTAGATTGAAAATAAAATAAATGAATTTCAGTAAGTAATTACCTTCTTCTCGCAGTCTTCGTGCTTCTTCTTCTCGCTTTTTTTTTGCTTTTCCAGTTTTGTTTGTAGTTGCAGCTGATTTCTAAATAATTTCGAAAAAAAATTATCGTTTTATATTCAAGAAAATATTTTATTAATAAAAGCAAAATTAGATAATTGAATGGCATACACTAGTTTTCTTTTTTTGTTTTGGTACTTTTGTAGTACGTTTTTTACGCGAATTTAGTTTTTTCATCTTGGCATTATTTGTTACTGATAAATCAAATGGATTAATAGATGTATTGATTACTAATGATTGACTATTCATTGTTTTGTCTTTTATCTATATTAACATCTAACTGTTCATTTTGTCTTTCATTATAGATCGCATCATCATTTACTATTTTATGTGATTATGTTCTAACAGGTCCCATACAGGAAAATATATATCATACGTAGATAAGAATACTATTTTTCTAATTAATATTAATAAAATTTATTTACTTACTTGAGTATTAGACATTGATAAATTCTTTATTTTAAAGTTAGAAATGAAATTTCACATGTGTAAGTTTTCATTATATAGTCTGTTGTCATGTCAACGATCTTTATCACTGACCTCTCCTATATTTCTATTGGTTAATATATACATAAATTGAATTATTGATGTATGAGTCATTATGTGATTGTAGTATTTTTGTTAGAGTTAGACTATCATATGTAATATAAGACATCGATATTCAATGCTCTCTAGATAACAACAAGTAAATCCAATTCCACATATTTTATCAAAGCTGGCATCGATTATATAAACAACGAAATCATTGATAGAAAAAAAGAAAGTGAAAAAGAAAAGCGATGGGGAATATGTTTGGTTCGATCTTTGGAAAGAAGCATTATCGAATATTGATGCTTGGTCTCGGTAAGAAAATAATTAAAAATAAATCTAATTAATATATATATTCTTTATTTATATTAAGATAATGCTGGAAAAACATCTATTCTTTATCGTCTTCGTCATAAAGAAACTATTACAACGATACCTACGGTTGGATTTAATGTTGAAACTGTTTTATTAGGACATGTGAAATTCAATGTATGGGATGTCGGTGGACAGGTAATTAAAATAAAAAATATTATTCAATAGATTTCAAGAAATAATTCAACAATAAAACTTATTTTCTTATGTCCCTAAAATAATTGAATTAGTCATTATTTTCGTATTCTCGTCATGATTACATATGCATAAATATATCTATGTGCATATATTTGTTATGATCGATACGACGCAAATCGGGTCGAGAAAATAACTTTTAGCTATTCATTGGGCATTGATGTATGAAGAAAAACAAATATCATGAAAACACCTGGATTTGATTTTAAATTTCGTGACTAATTTGGTTAAAGAAAAATACACCCTTCCTAGATATTCTATTTCAGTTCAATTATAAAATCTATGATTTTAGCTCATATATTATTTTTCTTTAGGATAAAATTCGTCCATTATGGCGACATTATTACACTGGATCTCAAGGTCTTATTTTTGTTGTTGATTCATGTGATCGTGAACGTATGGAAGAAGCAAGTCATGAATTAGATAAAATTATAAATGATCGTGAAATGCGCAATACTGTTCTTCTTGTTTTTTGCAATAAACAAGATATGCAAGGTTGTATGCAACCAGCTGAAATACGGCAAGCATTACATCTAGATAAATTATCACGTCCATATGCTATTATGCCTTGTTCAGCTTTGCAGGGAACTGGTCTACCAGAAGGTCTCAAATGGCTATCTGAACATTGTAAATAAAAATAAAAATAATAGCAGAATGTCTGTATTTGTGTGCAGTGATGGTGAATTGACGGCATTTTCTGTTATTGTTGTTGTTTATCTCTCCTTCTTTTTTTATACATATTAAACTGATGCGTTATTAGTGTGTGCGTGTGTGTGTGTATATGAAGAGTCACTGTTTTCTTTTTTTTTGATAATAAGATAGTTAAAAACAAAAGAACAAACATAAAACAAAGATATACATTGAATGATTTCTTTAGAGAAAAAAAAATAATGTTTAAATCTTCATTTTTATTTCGTCATTTATCATTACAATCGAAACGTTATATTCATTTAACAAATCCATCATTAACAGCAGGACAAACACAATATCATGGTCAACAAAATTCAACGTGGTGGGATAAATATGGTTCACATGTGGATCCAATTCAATCACGTGTAGATTTATTGAATATGGATGATTTAGATGAACGACATTTTCGTCCTGTTAAACCAGTTATTCCAACTTATCAATCATTTTCTTGTTTTCATGATCCAATTGTATCTCGTGTTATAGGAATTTTATTACGTGAAGGTGATCGTGAATTAGTTGAAGAATTGATGCATAAAACATTTCGAACAATTAAATTAATACAAATTGGAAAATGGACTCGAGCAAAAACAGATGACGAACGTTCTTTAATTGAATGTAATCCTGTTAATTTACTTAAACAAGCAATTAAAAATGCAACACCTATTGTTCGTAAGTTAAATAACTAGAAAAAATAAAAAAAGATTTTTTTATTGAATTATTTTTTTTTATAAAGGTCTTACTCGAATTGCTAAAGGTGGTACTTTATATTCAGTACCTATTCCAATGTCACCAGTTCGTGGGACGTATACAGCTATTCGTTTATTAATTGATAGTACACATGATGCTCGTCCACATGATCAACGATTTTGGACATTATTTGCTAAAGAAATAATGGATGCTGCGCAAAATCAAGGGCGCACAATAAAGAAAAAACAAGAAATACATCGAAATGCGGAATTAAATCGCGCATACGCACATTTCAAATGGCAAAAATAAGAAATATGTTTATCGTTTGTTGTTTTTTTTTGTTGTTTTGTATGAAGGTGAATAAAAATTAGACTGTAAAATACCCGGACTGTTTACTTACTTACTTAGTAGCAATAAGAAAGTACTGCAAAAACGTGATCAATGACGCAACTACTATCTATTTTTAAAAGGGGAGATTCTATTGTATTCATCGAAAAAAATAGGAATGACGTGGCAATCGATTCGCGTCACGGTTGGTATATTCCGAGGTATAAAAAGGGGTATCTTTTGTCGTTATTCAAACATTATTATACATTATACTTCAAACGTCAATACAAATATAAAACAAGTGAGTTTGAATACATTTTATAAATATATATGCAATAGCTGATCATCTATATTTTTTAAGAAATGAGCAGTATTATCAATAAATTATTGGGTAAAGATCATGATGATCATCACAAAAAGGAAACCAAAGTTGAAACTGAAACATCTCAGAAAACTGAAACATGTAATAAATCTGGTGGTACATGTACTAAAACTGAAACCAAATGTGAAGGTGGAACATGTGCAACATCAACAATTGGTGGTGAAAAATGTGGACAAAAAGCTGAATGTGCAAGTATCAGCTCAAATAATCGTACAGGTGGTCAAAATACTGAATCCCATTCAGTTCAACGTGATGGTGTAAATATTAAATCAACAGTCCACACAGAAGGTACCTCAACAGTATCAATGGCTAATCAACAAAAACTTACAGATCTTGTTTCAAAATTAGGTTAGTTGAATATTCAACAATTAATAAATATTTCTATGGATATTTTTTTTCCTCTAGGATCAACACATGCACAAATTGATGAATATGCTAGAAATCAAACTGAAAAAATTAACGAACAAATTCAACGTGAAATCGATGAAGTTGTTGGCCGCATACGTCGTGAACAAGATGACCTTCTCCGTAAAGCTAATGAACAAACTGCTGAAATCGATAATGAATATCGTGCCCGTTTACAATTAATGGTAGAAGAAATTGATGCCGCTAAAGCAAAACGAATTGCTGACATTGAAGCTTCTTTGAATAACCAACAAGCTGCTATTCTTCAATCAGCCAGAAATGAAATTGATGAATTAAACAAGAAAGCTGCTAAACTCAAAATTGGTGTTTTAGAAGCCGCTGAAGCTAAATCAGCAGCAGATGCACGTGAAATCACTGCCCATGCAGATTTAGGCAAAGCAGCAACTATTCATCAACAATCAGGAACAACAACAATTAAAACTGATGTAGTAGGAGCAGCAGAAACTGAAACAGCTGGTAGCGCTACTGTAACAACTGTTGGCGCCAAAACTGTTAGTGAACAACACAAAGTAGTTGAAGCTAGCGCCAGCCAATCACGTAAATAATATCAAAATATAAACCTCATCAAACAAAACAATAATAAAATTTTTTTATATATAATATATCCAAGCAGTTGTAGTTAACTTTTTCTTATTTTTTTCTCTTTCGAATAAATATGATACAGTCACATGTACTTTAACAATTGCCATATAAATAATCTATTGTTATTCATAATATCAAGCTACAAAATAATTCGTTACATTTTCAGATAAAATTGTATATTTATACTTTCTGATAAATAAATAATCTCAATAGAGTTAATATATTAAAGTTTTATTCGAAAATAATAAAAAAAATGCAGTACACATTTGGTTTAATTGTACCAGGTGCGATAATTACTTCAATTTTAAATTCGACTCCTATTATTCGTCTTTGTGGTAGTCTACCTGAATTAGGTTCATGGTCTATAGATAAAGCACCACAACTTAATCTTCTTACGAAAGAACTTTATCGTCCTATACATTTATCTAATGAACCACGTTTTTATCGACTTGATATAAATATATCGAAAGATGTGAAAGAATTTGATTATAAATATGTTATTAACGATGTTATGTGGGAAGGCAAACGACAAGAGAATCGTGTATGGTTCAGAGATGATTGTAAAAATTTGGTTGATGGAATTTATTATACACCAATTGATTATTGGATTGATGTTGACACAGGGGGTATGAAGAAAATAATTTTCTCTCATATAAATTTTTTTTTTTACAAAAAAAAAAATCATTTTCTATTTAGCAACGGATGAAAAAACTCATACATCAAATTTTTATAATGAAATAGTTCGAAATCAAATTATGCATTATGGTCGTGTTAATGACAAATTGTATGTTGGAGGTTGCCCTCGTACATTAGAACACATTGAAAATGTATTAAAGAAAGAATTAAATGTAACAGCTGTTCTTAATTTACAAGTTGTTAAAGATATTGAACGAAATTGTAAAAAAATTCTTGGTGATGATCACGTGCCAGAACCAAATAATGAATATGATTTAGCAAGTGTTGATATATTAAGAAAAGCTTATGAACAAGCAGGAATTTTATTTTTATGGGTACCAATAACTGATTTATCATCGACAGGAAGAGAATTAATGTCACCACAAGCTACATTGGTATTAAAAACAGTCTTAGAAAAAGGACATAAAGTTTATGTTCATTGTAATGCAGGTAAATTTTTGAATAATATATTTTTTCATTTGACCTTTTATCCAAGGCTAAATAAAAAATTTTTTTGTTATTTTAGGTGTTGGACGAGCATTTGGTATTGTTTGTGCATATCATCATTTTGTTTTGAAGACTCCATTACCAAAAGTACATTATGATTTGGCTCCAATACGTTCATGTGGGTTTTTTGATCGTGTATTTCTTGAGAATGCAGAAAAAATATACAAAAAAGCATATGAATAAAACAAAACAAAAGGAAAATCAAATTTAATCAAGCAACACTTTTTTTTTTATTTTTTTGTATAATTTCCTCGAATCTGTTCTTGTATTTCAATTGGTTGAAATTGAAAATCAAAATCAGGTTGTATTAGTGATGATGATGTTGTTGTATTTGTTGATGTTAAATCTTGTAAAGATCGTGAACGATATTGTTGAAATGGTGAATTTTGACTATGTTTTAATTCTACACCATGTTTTATACACATTTCATCTACTAATTGATTAAATTCATGTGTTTGAGGAGTTGTAGAAGTTTTATAAACAACAATTTTTTTATTTGGATGTGAATGTTTAACATGTGCAAATACAGATGATAATTCATTTGGATTCATTAAACATTCTTTCGTACCTTCAACACGATAGACAACTGATGGTTGTTGATCGGAATTTTGTTTATTTCGATGTAAACGACGAGAAGATGATTTTAATTCAGTTACAGGTATTGATACATCATGGTTAGTTACTAGATGTTGACTATGACGAGAATGTGTGGGAAGTTTTTTATTAGGTGAATTTGTATTATACGGTAATTTTCCATTTAAATTTGTATTAAATGTTTGATAGGAAGATGAAGGAGGATGTACGTCATTAGAATATCCATTTGTACTAATAGAAGAAGAAAAGAAAAACATTAAAAGAAAATAATTATATTTATAGATTTTACTGTTCATCTGTATATGAATTTTGATATGGTGATTGTTCAGTTTTATTATTTGACGTTAAATTAAGTAATAATTTTAATAATAAATCACGTTCTTTTCTCATTTCATTAATAGTTTCAATTAAAACTGATTCATTTAATTTTGCTTTTAAATATTCATTTTCACGCCATAAAACATCACGTTCATCCATTAAATCATGAATCATTGAAACAAGCTGTTCATTGTCATATTGTTGTTCATGACCATTATCGATTGTTTTTATTGGAATATTTTTAAACATCAGTGTGTGTGTGTATGTTTTATTGTAAGATTGTGTCTAATGAACTTTATTAAAATATCTCTTTTGTATTTGTTCGTATTCGATGTTGGTATTGATTGACAAGACACTATACAATTACCATCGTGCTCTTAGTCTCTCGACGTGATCTAAAGAACAAAGTAATTTCAATGGTTCGCTCCGCCTTTTCTCTTGCCTCATTTTGAATCACTTGAATAATATTACGCGAAAGAGTTGAGAGAAGAAGCACACACACACTTCTCTTCGTTTTTGTTATTGACTCTTGTTCGTTTTCTCTCATTCTTTTCTCTTCTCTTCTCTCGTCTCTTCGTTTGCAATACTTGTCCGTTGTCGTTTAGTGTTTGTAAATATCATTGATTGGACTGTTAATGTTACCTTGAGCAAATGATGCCATAAGAAAGAGAGCACGTAAAATAAAAAAGTAAGAGAGAAAAAAAAAAACTTTTAATGTTTTCCATAGTAAAAAGATTGATTAGATTTGAAACAAAAAAGAAAAGTAATGAATATTTTATTAACATTAGTCTATGTAAAATAATATTTTTGAAAAATAATAGAATTCAAAAAAAAAGAAGATAAGATTGTTATCAAATGTTAAAATTAATAACTAGCCAATACATCTCAAATATCTTTTGATAAGCTATAAAATAAAAATGTCAATATTATACTATAAGACTGTGTCTATTCATAGATTTCTCGATCGAATATTTTGTACTTATCGTTTGTTTATTTAAATTCCATTCCTCCTATTTTTAGTTGTTGTTTTTCGTACGATAATATTACAATTTATTTTTCTTTAACTAAAATGACGAATCATTTTATATAACAAATATCGTTTGAAGAGAGAGACAGAGAGAAAAAAAACTTGTTACTAATTCATTTTTATTTATAAAATGAAGTTCATTGATGAAAACTAACAAATGCAGATTATTAACTACTTAAAATAAATCTTATACAGCTTCTTCTGTTGAAAAAATTTAACATCATATCAATTAAAACTAATGGAGTTCAATAAAAAAAAATCATCGATAGACATCTGAAGTGGAATTGATTTCAATCAGTGGCGGATTTAGGGCAGCGGTCGCCCCCTTCCTTCAGACATTCTTTTACAGCAAAAATAGTTGTTAGCCCAAATCGCCCCCCCCCCTTCTTACCCATGTATCGCCTCTCCCTTCAATTTATCTTTTATTATAACGATATAGTATCACTATTTTATTCATGAAGACAACCTTTTCAAACGACGATGTTTGCTCTTTGAAAGATAAATTATGCACTTTCGAATAAAAGCTACATTTAGTTGTAGCAAAACTTGATTGTAATTTTATTTTAATTTCTATACAAAAAAATGTATTATTGTAAAAAAGCTCTTGCATATGTTGCCAACACTCCACTTGCAAGACCACTTTTATGTGATAGACAGCCATTATTCATTTCTTGTTCAATTAATAAATGTCGTTTAGTTTTGACATATGATTCCATTGATTCTGATGCTCTATTATAACATCCAGATTCTTCATCTTGCCATGAAAGTATTGTACTAAACCAATCTAAACGTAAAAATTCTTCATAACCAAGAATTGAACATAATAATACTTCTTCAAGAAATAAATCTTGATTATCATTATTATTGAAATTTATTTTAGCATCTTGATAAATATTTGAACAATATCGATCTTCTAAAGATTTGAAATTTTTATTTGCAAGATTTGATACTGGACGATTATCGATACAACCAATATTTTTTGCAATTAAAAACCATAATAATTGATGTGTTAAACGATAATCTTTACTCAATGAAGAGGTCATCATATTCCAACATGTTTGACTAACAAAACATTGTGTTGAATTAGGACGATTACTTGAACCAAGTAATTCAGCAAAACATACATCAGATTCTTCTTCATTAAAGTCAGAAATTCTTTCACCATGTTCTATTAAATTGTCGTCAATTTCTCTTACTTCATAATCAATCATAAATGGTTTTGATGCAACAAGAATAAATCGTTGTAAATATGCAGTTGCATCACGTGCTATGGCAACTAAGCTTTTATTTGATATACGTTCAATTTGTATAGATAAGGATTGAATATGATTATTTTTGTCTGTTAAATGTTGTTTATCATTCGATGTTGAAGTTAAAATATCATGAAGAGCATTCAATTGTCCTTGTGATATACGTAAACCATATACACCATCAAGATTTAAATCATCTACATCTGATTCAAAAAATGCTAATAGACGTTGTAAAGCATTCAATGCTTCACCACCATATTTCATATGTAATTCAGGTGAAGGAAGAGTTGAACTACATATTAAATGAATAGAAGAATATACTATAAAGAAAATAAATAATTTCAGATGCATCTAAAATATAAAATATCTATTTTAGTATACATATATATATAAGAAGCTGCCAACACTACTGATAAGCTAGTAAGAAATATGATATGTATATAGCTGAGAAATAAGAACAGGCATTGGTTATTTATGAGAAAGATTGTATATGTTGTGTCTACAATATGTAGGAGTGCCATCATTTGTCTTTCTTCCTTTATACTATTGAGAAAAAGTATATAAAAAGAACAGGAAAGGAAAGAAGAAAAGCGTTATCTAGGAAGAGTATACCTTATCCAGTACTGGATTGAATGATGACTCATCTATTTTTTTTTATTGTTATCAGAAAGGGGATTAACATAAACGAAAAACAAATACTGACTTATTTTGTCTGATAAAATAATATGACGCACAATATTTATGCATATCTTTGAATTTTTTAACTTACTATCCAAAGTCCATACTTTGTGTTCCTAAATTAAAATACAAATTCATAGAATATTCATTTTTTACCGTTCAAGATAAAGATATAACTGTTGCTCCATCAAAATAAATAATGAATGTAAATGTATTAAATAGTTAAAGAGGGAAAAAGAGATCGTATTTATATTGAATAGTTATCTAAAACCTTAATAGTCATTCAGTTAAATAACTTCCGATGGATTGTTTTCAATATATTTTACTTTTAATGAAATAATTGACAGGAAATGGAGTAAAAAAATCTTTCGTTTATCAATAGAAACAGGAAACCGTAGGTTTAATTCACTTCTTATGAATTAATTAGTTCAGAGTCAACTTCTAGCACACCATGTTTTACATATTGACCAAGTCTATTGCTGTCTAGTTTCCTTTCTCGACATACACATCAAATTTTTTGTTTTATATCGCGATGATCTCAAGATTCTGTTGCTTATAGAAAGCGCTAAAAAATGATTTTTATTGTTTTTTTATATGTCGAGATAATTAAAATGAAAATAGAAACAAAAGTTTTCTAACTAAAACTACAGCCCATCAAAGACTAGATGGTATTCGAGTTTTACTCGACTATAAAATGCGATGCGAAGCTCAATTTCGAAATAACGATTTTAAAGTTTTATCAAAATTATTTCTTTTACGAATAAATTCAATTGAAATTATCTATCTTATAAATTATTTTCTTCTAACGAAAATATCGAATCTTTTTGTAAGAATATAATATTTCTATGCATGAGACTTTTATTAATTAGAATTACAAACGTATTAGATAATGAGAGTTAGAACAAAACTTTCGAACATTACATGAAGTTCTACAAATAAAATAATTAAAAGAAAATACATATGAAAAGGTAATTGTATTTTCATAATTTTATTAGATTAGATAAAAAAAAAATTTCAATTAATATTAGTTGTTAAATAGTCATTTAAATATGTTTGCTTTGCATAGAATCGTTTTGTGTTGAATCATCGAAAATGAGAGTTAGGTGATTCATAATTATTCTAAAATGTATATTATCTTCTAATTTTTTAATTAATGCATAACATTCATCAGCTAATTTCATACATTTGTCTTTGGTGTATTTGATTGATCCGAATTCATGTAATAATTTGACGACTTCTTGTTTCAGATTCATATTATTTGTGCGTTGTTTGAGAACATTTTGAATTCGATTATCATTTGGACGATTTTGTATTGCATGAATAATTGGAAAAGAGTATTTGCCTTCGGTCAAATCTTCACAAAACGTCTTTTTTTGTGTATATTCTGTAGAAACTAAATTGCAATAGTCGTCTCGAATTTGAAAAAATAAACCAAAAGTTTGACATAACTCATTAATTGCTTTGGTTTTCTCTTCAGTAAAATTAATTGGTGAACATATTCTTAAAAGATCCAAGGTCAAACGAAAAAGACCTCCACATTTGTTGTCGATCATCTTATAATAGTTCTCTTCTGTTGGACAAATGTTATTCTCTCGCCACCAAATATCATATCCTTGTCCTTTGTGTAATTCAACCAAGTGATCTAAATAAATTAAGAAGATTTATTAAACAGGAAGAGTTGTTGGAGAAACGAAAATGTGTAAATTTTTGTTTCAAATTTCTTCATAGTTTCGTAACTTTTAAAAGAAAAAAAAATCTTACCGATCAGAATACGTCCGACGTCCGGATTATCTAATGTATATGCCTTTTGTATGGCAAGAAAGCAGACTAATTCAGCAGCATTAATTGTTAGAGGAGTACCATAAATTAAATGTGCCACTGGTGAACCTCGTCGCAGTTCAGAACCATCTTCAATATCATCAATTAACAAGCTCGCATTGTGAAGCATACCCATGATTTCATCGATAACTTTGAATTTCTCTTCAGATACTTGAAACCAATAATTCAATGCTTCAATCAGTTTAGATCGAACGTTTTTGCCAGGTAAAGATTTTAAATAATTAAATGGTTCCAAGATAGCATCCTATGAAAAAGAATAGAAATTATTTTTTCAAGTATAACTGTACAAACAAGATTTTTACTAGATTTCCACAGCTATTATTATCCATGTTATGATCCATTTCGTCTATAAAAAGAAAAAGTACACAATAAAAATAATAAAATATTCTATGATATGATATTTAAAACATTGATGCCCTCACAATTTTATCTATAGTTTTCAAGCAACAAACAACTGAATTTCGTATTAAAATGATATTCTTTCTTTGAGACAAAATTTCACTATACTAGCTCGAAAAACAAATGATTTTGAATTGTTCTATTCATTTTTCCTTTTATTTATTTCCTTACTTTCGAGATCATTGAGTTTATGGACATTATCTTTGTCTTTGTGATCACTTGATGATATCTAGTAAATTAGTCATATAGTGTGATGTAGAAAAAAAATCATCTCTTTCTGTACCTTAGCATTCTTTTGTGAATGTAAAATATTCTCTTGTACTTTTATTTTCGGTGGTAATAATTTGATGCGTCTTGTTCGTTTAACTTCTTCTCTTTCGGATCCAAAATATCTTTCTGTTTCAAAACACCAACAAAGATTTCCTCGTACCATATCACCCAAACCATCCACAAATTGTTCTACCTGAGAGTCAATGTCTGCTCCCCATGAAGGTAATTCGTGTCGGAGACGTTGAAAGTCACCATAAACATCAATAACCATTTGTCCTGCTTGATCCATTGCTTGTTGAATGCTCAGTGATGAATTGGCATTCATAAGTACTGAGACCAGGTTATAATGACCCTCAGATTGTTCATTATTGAACGAATAAATATCCTATTCATAAGACGAAAAGAGAACGAACAGATAATAAATTTTTTATTCATATTTTGATTTTTATAGTTTTACTGGCAGGTCAAAAAGTATAAATTCAAGTTTATAGTAACTAAATCGAATGAGAAACGTTTCTTAGCTCTCTCTGTAGTATTTTTTAGCGTGTCATTTAACTTGGCAAGAACAACGGAAGTTAACAATATTGTCTGTTTCCTACGTTGTCTCCTATGAGAATGACCTTTCACAACAAAATCTAAAGAAAAATATAACTCACATTTGCCCATGCACCAGCATCCATGAAACATTCCATAATACGTTTCAATGTTTTATCAGCCAGACATACATCTGGTAGGTCAAAACCAAGAGAATATTGAATCAATGTACATACCAATGTTCCGTAAACTGAAACACGTCGAGCCTCTATGTAAGTTTTTAGATCAGGTATTATTTGATGATCCTTCTTATAAGCTTCTTGATGTAAAGAAGTTTCAACTGCATCTTGAAACGAAATTTTGAAACGTTTTCGAAATGTTGGTGTACTATTGACGAGTGATCGCTGCCACCAATCATGCATAGCTGAAGCATATGTTGTCAATGGTTTGAATGACCCAGCTGGTTGAAAAGAATCGCATATGTTATTAAACAACTGTTGCTTGGCTTGCTCACTGATGTCGTCTTTGGAAGGTGCATCAAGTTCATGGTCATATATAAACATTATTGTGGAGATGTCGGATATTTCGCGTAGTAGATCTCGACTAGTACGTGGATACAAGAGTCCCTCGAGCAAATTGAACTTAGTCACTGACTCATCGTGAGAAAAGCCATGCGAAGAATACCAAGCATCAGTTTCCTTTCCTACGACTTCGTAGTATGGGTTACACCCTAGCTCGAAAGGACAACTGCTGATCAAATCTGGTAGTATAATGATGTTAGATTCCGAATTTGCCATATAAAATATAGCAAACAATGTAAAATTATCTATTAAATAGATAAATTACTTTTTCGTACGGATAATCAATAGATTTATCTAAAAATAACTATATATTAGAAGCTGAGATAAATGAAGGTGGAAAAACGTAAGCACGCCAAAAAATACCCTCTCTATTGATTGATCAAGTTCGTTTTTAGAAATGTTTTATCAGTATAATACTTAATAAAATATTTTCAAGTGTCAAAAAGTAAATTCTTTCTGTTCTCATTATCTGTTCATAATGCAATTACAAACAAAGGCAGCAATTGAAAATACTGGTCATTTTTTTGTTAAATTTTATTAATTATGTCACATTGTTCACATCGTAAGTAAAAATACTAAATAAATAGTCAATTACAATTATATAGATAACAAAACTGCATAAAATACTTAG